GGAGACAGCATTTTTGTGAATGGGCCGGCCCAACTGGCACTCAACCTTGTTAGGTAACGAGTCAGCAGGCAATAGTCAATTACTTAGGAATGGAGGTAGGAAAGCCTGCGTAGCACTTGTCTACTACCTAATCCAAGGCCTGATCTGCTTGCTACAGGCTCGACCATGCGGAAGTTTTCAGGCTTAGTTATGTTCGAGAGTTGAACCCTAAACCCTAACCCTAAACCCTAGCCCTAACCCGCCCAGCAAGCCCACGCATGGCACAGGTGCTGGCAGAGTCTGTGACGAGCGTGCAGCAGTCGTCCCTGTCTTTTGCTTTTCCGCATCTCGGCCGGCAAACTCTAAGGAGGAGAGTTCCCAGAAAGCTTCAAGTCAAGGTGGTAGACATGTATCCGTTCGGGACCGTCATGGAGCGCAATGGCCTCTGCGGTCAAGTGAGCAAGTTCCGGAAGTCAGCTGCGGGCGTAGCTGACAGATTTCGCAGCCCCCAGTCAACCATGGGATCTGGCTGTTCCCATTGCCTCAATGGGGGGGCCTTAGTTCACTCTGAACTTGATTTGGCAGCCTTGTGGCCTCCCCCAAGCTTTTAGGGTGTTAGGCTGTGGCCTTGGCCACGCACGGGCTAGCTGCCATCTACGACGCTCTCTTGCTCTTGGCGCAGCTATGGAAAGCAGTGCCGCCTGAGAGCCGAAAGCCTGAAGGTTTCGCGTTTTCCCCTATGGGCCTGAATTATTACCCATCGTATTGGTTAGGTTGTACTAGAATCTACCCCAAACCCCTGTTCTAGAAAAGAAGGCTTGGGTGTTTAGCCATTAGCTTAAGCGCCTTTTTCTGGGTGCCTGCGTTTCTTCTCGAGTTTGAAAGAGAGAGAGGTGAACCCTGTCCCCGAGGGAAAAACGCATCAACCACGCCCTTCCCGGCCGTACTCCATTCAGTGGGCTTTTCGGGACCCTAAACCCTAAACCCTAAGCCCTAATCCCTAAGCCCTGCAATGCGGGCTCGTCCTGGCTATGTGGGAGGGAAAAAATCCCTAAGCCCTGAACCCTAAGCCCTAAGCCCTAAACCCTAAACCCTAAGCCCTAAGCCCTAAACCCTAAACCCTGTTCTGTAAGGCTGGGAGGTTCGATCCTGCGTCTGGGCCGGAAGGCTTGCCGGATTCGTGAGAGAGAGAGAGAGGAGGCCTCTTTTGGGCTTCTAGGTGTTATTAGGGTTTGTATAGGGCTTAAACAGCACAGACTTTATGACGACTAAAACCTTGGGTTCAGGGTATGTTTGTGGGAGTTGGAGTTTTAGGATTCGTTTGTTTTGTTTATGAAGCAGATGTTACAGCACCGGGCGGTACTGAAGTGTGTATGATGTGAGGCAGCGCTTCGGAAGTGCTGCGTGCGGAGTATCTCCTTGGTGGCTTTTGGTTCAAGTGTTTGATTGGGTGTTTGTTCCTTGCATCTGTCCAAGCAGCCGCCCTCGCCCTAAAGTCTCTAAAGCCTTGCCTTCCAAGTGCGAGTGTGAGCATCGAAGCTCTGAATCGAAACAAAACCTGCAGTGTCGCCGTCAGCCGAAACATCTTCCTGCACGAAGCTTCATTGATGTTCCTTAAGAATTGGCGTTCCAGCCTCCACTCGTTGATGACAGCTTCGACAGCACGCGAAAACGGGTCGAAGCTTCAACAGCTTGCCTGCTTTGTTGAAAGCAGTTGGTCTGCATACCGTAGATGGCCCGAAGCCAACTTCAAGCTGAACAGACACGCACGGCATCGCGTGGCATCTGTAGTTCTATAGCGAGCAAGAGCCTAAGAGGCCGCACTCAAACTCCCAATCCGAAGCCCAAAGTCCGCAAGCTCCAACCCTAAAATCCGAAACCCTGCGCAGGAACTGGAGCTGCGGCGCTCCCTGGGGTTGGCTTTGGATCCTGGGATGCATTGAGGGCCTCGAAAGATGATAGGGATTTGGGGTTGTCGTTTAGAGATTCGAGTGCCTCGGCGAGAGAGAGAGAGAGCGAGAGAGCTTAGGGATTTAAGGATTTAGGGGTAGGGTGTAGGGTTTGCAGGCTTTGCAAGTTGCATAGATACGGATGCTTCGATTCGGGGCTGAGCAGGGCCCCTTTAGAATCAACCTGTTTGAATGTTTACATAAACCGCGAAACCATCCTAAACCCAAAAGCGTCTCACAGCACATAAACGGGCAACCTGGTAAACAGCCGATGAAGTATCTGGCACTTGCAAACCCAGGAACAGTATTGTTTTGAGCGAAACCGGAGGCTCGACGATGTTTGTGATGGACAATGGCGGATTGGGCTCGTCGCTTCTATTGACTTTACTTACCGGCTGCGTGTATAGAATGAAGGAGTGATCTCTTCCAGATACCTTTTAGGTAGCTCTATCGTACAAGTACCAAGTTCAGAAACACAGATCTGGAGTCAGAGTGTCATCTGCCAGGGTGCAGATGGAGGAGTCGACTCCTTGAAAAAAGTGGTGCACAGGGAGCACAAGGTCCAGAAGTTCTGATGTTGTGCTTTTTAGTGTGAGCATGTCCTCAACCATTCCCATTCTCACAAAGCCAAATCTGTCGACCGTGTTTCTGGCATCAGAATTTGTAAAGTCGCCCAACCCATACACGGGCTCGTGAAGCAAGCCCACCCCCCATGTCTTAAACTGTGGAGAGACTGCAAACAGAGCGTGCCTTCCCACAGGAAACACGGACAGTGGGCGGCACCTTGTCTCGAAATAACCCGGCACCCAAGTCGGCTGCAAGTCGTTAACAATCCCTTTGCAATCTATCCCAGGGCTGTTTTCAAATTATTAAGGCCACAGCTTAGGGTCGAGGCAGGCCCTGCTACATGGATCATTCTTCAATGCACGACAGACACAGAACAGAAGGCATCAGAGCGTGTTTGCTTTCAGGGGGCATCTAGGCCGATGTCGTTGCATTCGGGTGAAACCCTGCAGGCCCTCGCTGAATGACAATCTACTGTCACAGTGTAGTCACGGTGTAGTCAGTGCACATGGTCCCAAAGCGCTAGCACAGGGACTCTACCGCGATACCCCGAAGGCCATGCACTCTTTTCGTCTTTATTGCTTGCTGACAGAGTGCCCAAGACCAACAGATCGAAGTTCAGGCTTGAGAACCTCACATCGCGAGTCGAAGTTCTTAGGTGCTCTTCCTTTTTGCAAGCTGCAGTCTCCGAGGTTCGTTCCAGAAAGATTCCAGCCGCACCACCCTCCAGCGCTACTCGCTGCTCGGCACAAACTTTTAAGCCTCCTTTGGGCTTGTTCGCTTCAGCCGTGACGTTCGGAGCAGATGACACTTGCACAGAACCGCTTGGTGCCCCAAATCTGGTTTTAGGCACCACGCTCTCAAAAACTTTTCAGCCTTTTTTGGTATTCGTTTTTCCATATTTGTGCCGACCAACCGAAAAGGGGAAATTCTGCATGGCCAGAGGCTCCTGCTTCTTCCGGGCCTGCGCGTGGCCAACTCGCTCCCTGCTGCTTGGCCCGACGCTAAACCCTAAACCCCTAAACCCTAAACCCTATAACTCTATAAACCCTATAACCCTATAAACCCTAAGCCCTGCAAAGCCCTAAACCGAATCTTTTGGGGTTACATCCCATTTGCACACGCACAGAATTAACGCGTTCCGGGTTTCGGTAGACCCGAAGCCAGCAGAGATCCGTATGATCACAAGAGGCCAAGGGCCGCAAGCAGCTTTGAGGGTTCAGCGCTTTCTCGGGTCCGGGGAGTGTAGACAGTTTGATGGGGAGTAAGTCCCCTTTCAGGTTGGGCTGCAACTCCCTTTAAGGGCGCAGACTCATCCAACACCTGGTGTGGGCCTCCAGAGACTATGAAGATGGCAAGCGAACCAGTTGTGCCTCACAATTGTATTGGTGCCTGCTCGGTGCTGCCATTTCTGAACCCCCGAAGCCAGTGGTGACTTCTGCATGAGAGTTTTGCGGTTGCGGTGCTGAACCCCCTGGCCAAGGCATCTCGATGATGCTGACAGTGGTGGTAGCACTTTACAAATTTACTGAGCCAATGATGGCCGAGGTGCTGATCGTGATGGTGGCGAAGCAGGGATGGTGCTCGTGATGTCCATGAAATCAGATAGCATTACTGATCTGTTTCCACGACCTCCACTGCATCAGTTGTCCACCGAGGTCTCCTTGCGAGCGTCACTACATCGTGGGGAGGAGGCCTGCCTGAGCTGCAAGGTAGTTCGCCAAAGTCTGGCGAATCCTAAAAGTACTAGAGCTGCGGTCGGCAAGATACCCCGTTCTCCGAAGGTTTTCGCGAAGACTCGAAAGCCCCATATCTCGAAGCCTTTGGGGTTCGGGCTCTTGGTTTACGACTTCTTTCTTGCAGCCGATGCATCAGAAGCCTCGCCTGGCTCGGCCAATCGTGGCGAACACGGAAATCGGAAAGCACTCTCGAACTCCGAGCCTCAGCCCTACATGACATCTCTAGTGTAAAAAACAGACCAGGAAAAAACAAAGGAGCACACTGCAAACCCGAAAGCACCGATGTTCTAACACCACTGAAACGAACGACTGAACCTCTGCGATCTCCAATCAGCTCCAAACAATCCGTCCGTCTGCAAGATCTGCTCGCCAACCCCCAATGCTAGGAACCTGGATCCCAGATCCGAAGGCAGCAGCACAAAAAAGGAGAAAGACAACCTCAGACCCTAAACCCAAACGTGTGGAACGAGAAACGACGCCTCGCTTGGATTGTCCGAGCGTGAGACAGTTTCAAAGAGTGTTCCCTGCAGTGCGATTTGGTCAGCTAGGGAAAAACCCAAAGCCCGCGAACCCCTGAACCATCGACATCGCGGGCAGCTTTTGATCTGCTTTGTCTGTCCTTTGACAAGCTTTGACGGCTCCAGCCGGATACTAGCTATGTTCGGGCATGGCAAAGTAGCACAAAGCCGTCACGAGTTTGGCAACTGGCAAGGCAGCACATGTATCGCAGACAGAAGGACCCCAAGAGACGCCTTCGTCCGGTGTCGCCATGGGCAGCGCCGGTGCAGCAGAAGAGCGAGCTCTGACTGCTTACGGGCAACTCTGGGCGCTCTATGTCCTTTGCCCCTTCTTCGATCGCTTGCTGCTGGGTGTGGCCGGAGCGGTGGATGCCCGGCCGTTGGGGCCCGGAGATGTAGTGCTTCTGCCTTTGGCAGCTTTGGCGGCACTGTTGGAGGGACGACTCGCGCTGGGCATGATGCTCTTGGCACACATCGTGAAACTGGCTATGTTTGCCCATCGACTGCCTTTCGTGTGGGATCACGAATGCTGGGCCGCAGCCACCGAAGTGTCCTTTGTTCTCGCCGCTGCCCAGGGTGAGACAGGGGTGGTCCAACGCTTTTGGCCAGCGGCGCGTGCACAGCTGTTGCTGCTCTACGCCGGCGCAGCTTTCTGGAAACTGAACACTTCTTTTCTGGATCACAGAACCTCCTGTGGCACGGTGATCTTGGCCCAAGTCTGGGCAGCCTACATGCCGTCCACTCTCGCTCTTGACCTGGCACCGATGGTCACCAGGCTAGCTCCTTTTGCAGCGCTTGGCGGTGAGGTGATGCTTCCCCTGGCGATGGCCTGCTTTCCGCGCTTGGGGCTTTTCCTCGCCCTACTTTTTCACCTCCTCGTCGTGCTGGCACCGGCGCCCAACTTTGCCGGAGGTTTCTCAGTGACCTGTGCATCGCGCCTTATCCTTTGCCTCCCTTGGGAGGCTGCTTCGGCCTTGGGTCACATTTCTCTGGCAGTTCTCGGCGCGGCTCTGGCCGTCGCTTTCGTTCGAAGCGCGGCCTTCGCGACTTTCGCGCTCATGTTTCTGGTGACTGTCTCGGCCGGCTTGGCCAGCGGATTGCAGAAAGGCTCAAATGCAGGGTCTTCTGCTGCCCTGACCCGGTGTTCTGCCGTGGGCACCTTCGTGTATGCCTTTGTCCTTCCAGTGCTGGGCCTCCAACACATGGCTTCCTGTTCCATGTACGCCAACTTGAAGCACTACGGGGGCTCCAATCACCTGTTGATGCCCACAGGGCTGCTGCAGGATGCTTTCCCGGTGACTTTTGGGAGTGAGCTGCTGCGCGTAGACGAGGCTGCAGGGCTGCTGGCGGCCCAGAACGTGTGGACAGAGATCGAACCAGAGCTTGCCACGACTTTTCTTCGTGCTGCCAACCACAGCGGGAGGCAGTTCGTGCCGTACTATGCACGCATGGGCTCCTTGGAAGATGCCGGGGTGGCCTTGCAGGAGGAGAACGCAGCCCTGCCTGTTGTGATGTCGGCGTTTGAGCTCCGCCGCTCCTTGGCGGTGCTTCGGCGCAGTGGGCAGACCGCATCACTGAGCTACGTGCGCCTGCCCGGCGACCTGCAAACACCTGCGGAGTGGCTAGCCCACCGGGGAGTAGCTGTCCGCGTGCACCCCAACGGAACCTGCACCGTTGATACAAAGCCGTGTGCAGAGGACGAGATTGCGCTGCAGCCACCGCCGCCGAGGTGGTTGACCAGCATGCTGTTGCCATATCCTTATGCGCTTCTACCTGGAGATGGGAAGGAAATCCACTGCAGCAGCTGAGGACGAAAAGCATGTGCCATCGCCCTTGCAGTTATGAATGGAGACGATATATAGTTATACATATATATATATATCTATATATATATATGTATATGTATCTGAACTCTAAATCCCAAACTGGCCATAAACCCTTAAGCCTTAAAGCAAAGAGAACCTTAAACTTGAGGAGACCCTAAGAACCCTTCGCCAGGAAAGAGAGGAAATCTGGGAACTTCCGCCCGGAGGTGTGCTGCTTGGGGGGGGGGTTCAGGGGGTTTTAGGGCTGAGTTTTTACAGTTTGAAGTTTTGGGGTTCAAGTTTTCAAGCTTAAAGATTAAAACGTTGGGAGTTTTGGGGGTTCTAGGTCCGTTCGGGATTTCTTCTTACGGCTTTTGTGTTTGTGTTGGCGACAGATGGGATTTTCGGAGCTTTCGAGAATAGCTTGTGATTTTGGGGAGCTTTGGGATGGAAGTACTTAGTCGGAGTTGTGGCTTTGCATAGTTTAGCTTTTTTTAGGGTTCAGGGCTTGAGCATGTAAGAATGGTGATTTATGGGGTTGTTGGAGTGATTGCTGGGTTGTTTGGGACTCAGATCGTGAGTTTTGAAGCAGCCTAGAAGGCCGATGCCCGGTAGTCTTAAACTGGTATGTATCCTTTACGATAACAGAGAGGGAACCCCCGGAGAGAAGAGTTTAGGGTTTAGGGATCATGGATTGTGTTTGTATTCACAGCTTGTTTTTATGGAGGTTTGCACATCATGTTCGATATGTGTGAACTTTTATGTAGTGCTGTGGTTGCGCTTCATCACATTGCGCGTGTGTGTGTGTGTGTGTACGTGCATATGCAGGCAGGCAGACATACAGGCCGGTCAGGTAGGTAGGTCGTAATGTAATGCAATGTAATGTAAGGTAAGGCAAGGTAAGGTAATGTAATGTAATGTATGTATGTATGTTTGTATGTTCGTATGTATGTATGAGCTTATGTATGTATGTATGTATGTATGTATGCATGTATGTATGTATGACTGTATGTATGTACGTATGCATGCATGTATGTATGTATGTATGTATGCATGTATGTATATGTATGTATGATTGTGTGTGCATGTATATGATATGTAGTTCTGAACGTGGCCTGACGTGGTCCAGTGCGTGCGCCAAAAGTATCCAAAAGTGTCGTTCAGAAGTCTGCCGTACGTGCGGCTTCGTCCGACGGGCTTGCTGCGTCGCTGCGCCCGGCAGTGGGGTGCAGTTTTGTTCGATTCGAGTGGCTGAGGGTGTTTTCCGGCACAAGTTTTTTTTCAGTATTCCTGGGTTCAACAATGCAAGTTTGAGACTGTGCGGGCTTGGCTTCCGAAGTACCTTAAACCTGCACTTCCTCGGGCCAGGCACTGCCGACTTCGGGCGGATAGCATTCGGAGGCACCTCGCGCAGCCATCTCTGAAGTAAGGGTTTATTAGCGTTTAGGGTTGTTTAAGGGCTCCGTTCTACTAGGGTCCTTTAGTCAGGGTTCTATGGTGGGTTAGGGCTAATGTTTGGAGATTCGGGTTTTCATGGCTTGGGGTTTAGGATTCGGGGGTCCTATTGTGATCCAAATATGGCATGAATATTCTGTCAGCATACGCCAAAGTATTTGCAGATAGCCTGATCTAACTCACGATTCGGGATCCACATGTCCTGATTTCTGATGAAAGACCGGCTGCAACGCAAGGTTTGCCAATCGGCGTGGTTCCAGCCAGCATTTCGAGAATCTTCGCAGTGCCTGTTCCCTTGGCCCCCAAACCCGACAACCCAAACACTGAACCCCTAAGCAGTGCTATAAGGGCCTAAGCAATTGCCAACACTATTTTTTTGGGGGGGGTTCCTCATTTTAACTATAGTGGTATAATATACCCCGCAGTCCTGTCGCTGACGTGCCAAGTGGGTGACAAAATAGTACAATATATCCCGAAACCCTATTCTACTTGTTAAGGCCCCTGAGCATTAGACAAGCCAAATTGCGCTGTTGTGCATGATGCCCACCTTCTCGAAACCCCGAGGCCCTGAAGACATAAAAACCCTAGCTGGATGGTTGCTGGTTTAGGGTTTAGAGGCTCATTCAAGGAAACTCCCCACACCCTTGTTAAAGGAAAAGGACAGGCCTTGACAAGCCTCCAGCCAGATACGGTATACTTTTCGGTATTAAGCTATCTTAGTACGGTGTATGTTATGGCAGATATTAGGGTGTAATTATACGCATGAATGTATATATACATATATTTATATGTATATATTTATTTATTTGTTTATTTGTTCATTTGTGTATTTATTTATTTATTAGTACATATCACACAGTAGATACTATGGTATGTTTTATCGGAGGTGAGCTTCGTCTGAGCTCGGAGACTGGAGAGACCGCTTCAGTGGCCAGGGGCCTCGGTCTTCGGATGGGCTTTAGGGCATGAGGGGTTCAAGGCTTAGGGTTTTGTGGTTCTGGGTTCTGCCGGTTTAGGGCTTTGGAGGTCTAAGGGTTTGGAGTTTATAGGCTCGGGCTTAGGGTTTGGAGCTTTTGGGTGCAGGGTTTGTTCTTCGGTGTCGGAATAGGTGGGGGAGTTTCGGCTTCAGGGTGTTGACATGCGCAGTCACGAGTGCTGCACCGCTTCACGGTGACGGCTGCTGCAAAAGGGCCGTGACATGCGAAGGTCCCATGGCTCAATATCTGCTGAGTAATTACGTTTTGGGTCGGCAAGGCAATTACAGGAAAACAAGTCCAACACTCATGCAAGCCATGGGTTACGTTAGGCCTGTAGGTGGCTGGCGGGCTCGTAGAAGCATTGGTGAGAGTATGCTTGGAATATCGCCCGCGATACCCTTACGTATGTCGGGTCCCAGATGTCCAACTCAAGGGGCCGGGACGAGGAAGTGTGAGCCCGCTGGCAGCCGAGCTCACTTCGATGTGGATCTGGCCTAGAGCCTGTTATAGTTGATGCTGCGAAGCCCTCATGTGGGCGTCCGTTCGCTAGGTCTTAAGTCTTAAATGTGCTAAGACTGCAAGTGCACCCTCGTTTGAAGACCCCCTAAACCCCTAAACCCTCAGCTCCCTAAACTCTGGACTGCTGGAGAGCTAATCCAAAAGAGGCCGTAAAGCAAACAACGACTGCTCGTTGCTTGGACCGAGATTCTCCCAGCTGCAGCACTGCAGTCGAAGGCCAAGTTCAAGGACCATCGAAAAGCAGAGTCGCAACCAGTTTGCGGAATCCCTTTCTGTCATATTCTGTCACCTAATTATTCGTCTCGGCTTGAGCATGGTTACGAAGTTTTGTAAGTAATACCTAATAAATGGCTACGGCTCAAGCCCTTTCAGCATCAAGCTGTACGATTCCTTCTCTCCGCTGCAACTTCGGTGCCATGGCTGCAGTCTTCCCGGCCAATCAGGTGATCGTGGTAGGCGGCGGCCTGGCAGGCATGTCCGCCGCCAACACTGTGGTGGAGCTTGGTGGCCGCACCATTCTGTTGGACAAGTCCTCCTTCTGCGGAGGGAACAGCACCAAGGCCACCAGCGGCATCAACGGTGCTGGGACCAAGACGCAGAAAGGAAAGTCTATCCCGGACACAGCGGAAATCTTCATTGCCGACACGCTGAAGGGCGGCGCGAAGAAGCCGGAGCTTGCCAAGGTGCTGTGTGCCAACAGCGCTGCGGATGTTGACTGGCTCGTGGACAAGTTCGACCTCGATCTCTCCCTCGTCGCGCGCCTGGGAGGGCACTCCCAGCCCCGCACGCACCGCGGCAAGGAGCGCTTCCCAGGAATGACCATCACCTATGCGTTGATCCAGATGCTGGAGAAGGTTGCTGAGAAAACCAACCGAGCTCGCATCGTGACGAAGGCGGAGGTGTACAAGCTGCTCGTCAATGCCGGCACCGTGGTTGGCTGCGAGTACAAGAAGGCCGGCAAGACCGTGAAGGAATTCGGCCCGATGGTCCTCGCCTCCGGCGGATTCGGCGCCGACTTTGGCGCCGATTCCCTCTTGGCCACGTACCGGCCGGACTTGCTCCACCTCCCCACCACCAACGGCGAGCACTGCACTGGTGATGCCATCAAGATGGGAGAGGCCATCGGTGCAGCCACCATTGACCTCGAGTGGGTCCAGGTGCACCCCACCGGTCTGGTGAAGCCGGACGATCCCGATGCCAAGGTGAAGTTCTTGGCCGCGGAGGCCCTCCGAGGTGTTGGTGGCATCGTCCTGGATGCCAACGGCGACCGCTTCTGCAACGAGTTGGGCCGACGCGACTATGTCACTGGAGAGATGTGGAAGAACAAGCCGCCCTTCCGCCTGTGTTTGAACAAGGCTGCAGCCGATGAGATCATCTGGCACGCCAAGCACTACACCGGCCGTGGTGTCATGAAGTTCTA